TGTCCGCGCTGCCGCCACCGTGCGAGCAGCTCAAGAACTCAATGCTGGAGATGGGCGCCGAAGTGAGCTTAGGTGGTTTACGTGAGCATGTTGACAGGCATGGGAACGGCTTGGTACGCAACGCATTTAATGCTTACCAGCGACAGCTTCTAAACTGGTGGCCCGAGACGCTTCTCACCGGGTACAATGAGTTGCCACGTCAACGAGGCGCCGACGATGCCAGGAGGCAGTGTGTGGTGAGATATTTGCAGAGCCCTTCTTCGGGCGGATTCCCGAGAGACGTTTCTTCCGACGACGAGATACGACGACGACAAGTGCGAAGACGACGATGCGGTGCACGAGACGACAAGATACGACGGCGACGAGTACGACGACAAAGTACGACGACGAATATTACGTCGAGTACGACGACGAGGTACGACGATGAGTACGACTACGAGTACGACGAATACGATGACGACGAGGAGGACGAGGACGACGACGACGTCTTGGAACCGTCGTTCAGCGCCTGTACTCTTGTCTGGTTGATCTGCTTGGTCTGGTTTGTTGCGCTGGCTGGCTCGTCTGGCTCGTGGTGGTGGCGGTGGTAGTGGCAGCGTAGTGCACGCAGCAATAAAATAAAGTATGCGGGGCTCCTCGGCAGCGCAATTTGTTATCATTTTTGAATCAATTCCTCCTGTAGAGGCAACGCCCGACTCAACGCTACCTTCGGCCTCTGGGGGCCCTCGCCAGGCTCCGGGACCGTCCACAGAAACGACTCGGGAGGAGAAACCGGTCACCGGGAACGGATCGAGACCTCTGGGGACCGACGGTATGAAAAAATCATGACGTCCGGGGTCTGGGATAAAAGTAGGGGAACGAAAAGTGGCATAAACATAAAAACTCGGAAGTCTGCGCGGATCCGAGAAATCCGCGCGGACTTCCGAATCTTTATGTTCATGCCACTTTTCGCTCCCCGAAAAAAGGACCGCCCCCGACTCCGACCCCGACTCGGGGGCTGAACGGCGGACCTGACGAGCAACTCCGCCGGGCGAGGGCGGCGACGACCTCCGAAAGTGACCCCGACCAACAAGGAGGTACCCACACACACAGCTACTCCCCGGACCTCTCCAGGGATGCGCTCTGACCAGCATTTCGAGGCGCGTCCAGCCACGGCGACGAAGGCCCGAGGAGGCGAAAGCGAGGCAAGGGCACTGGTACCGCGGAATTCGTGCCGTGCCGATCCCGGCGCCGGTTTTTGATACCGAGGGGATTGTTCAACCCTGAACGATCGGTGGTTTCCGAATCGTCAGATCGTTCAACATCGACCGACTCTGGGTCCCTGGCGGCGTTCAACGTTGAGCGCCAGCGGCGGGGTCGCCACTGGTCGACACGACGCGAACCCAGCGTATACATCTTCCTCCTCCGACGGCTTCCACAAACAGCGCTGCCGAACCTGGCTGGCCGCGGGGACGAAATCTTCCGACGGCTGCGCGACGCCGGGGTACACCGCGCCCGTGAGGCTGGGGCCCTCGGCGTCCGCCAACCAGCCCGCCACGCGCGCGGGCAGGGCCTGGACGTTCGGGGCGTAGGTGGCGGCGGTCAGCCAGCCTCTGGGCACGAGCCGACGGGGAGCACCTGAGCGGCGACAATGAACGGTTAAGTCGGGCCTGTCCCCCTACAGGGGAATGTTGGGCGAAAAACAAAAATACCAAAAAAATATCACCAAACTGGCCAAATAAGGGTCCACCATTCGTCCCCAGACTTAAAAAATACACTATTTTTGAACATTCCTCCTGTAGAAAGACAGGCCCGACTTGAATAAAAACGGGGCTTGCGCGAGATGCCACAGCGACCTTTCGCGGCGGTTTCTGCGGGCCGCCGGCGCGTCACGCTGCGCTGGAAACGAGGGCGTCTACGCGCGACCTCATGCGGGCAGCTTGCCCATCGGTTGTAAGAAGTACGCGTCGTTCATTTCCAATCGTGCTCATTTCTAATTGTGCTCGTTTCTAATGGTTCCTGGCCCCCGAGTGGCCAGGAAGAGCCCCAGGGTAGAACAGTTAGAAACGAAAGGATCTTGGCCCAAAAAAATCAGAGAACTTCCGAAGAATGAGAAATGAACGGTGTGTAGGCAGAACCATGATGAAGTAGGAAGGCGTTGAAAATAAATTGGGATTGCGCCCGCCCCCTAAAGAGAACGGAGAAGGCGCAGCCACTCGATCATTGAAGTAGGAAGGCGCCTGAAGTAGGTTGAAACCTGGGAATCTTAGAATATCTACTTTCAACGACCTATGGGTACACGCCAATCTCGGCACAATCGACCCCGTTTTATCATTGCAGGCCTGGAAATGGGCACCACCACCAGCACAGGGGGTTGCCTCCACAGGGGGAAGGTGGTCCTAGATGTCGGTGTTGGTGGGAATAGTTCGGTCACCTTCAAAGCCAGAATATTACCACCATCACCGAGATCGGGATCTTCTTCCCTCGAGGCCCTCGATGGAAGCACACCGTCGAAATTCGTGTTGGTGTCAACCTCTAGACCTACGACGTTACGACGCACACGGGATGGCACGAGAACGGCGCCCAGAAGCACCGTGCCGCGGGTTCGTGCCGTGACGACCTCGGCGTTGGCTCCCGACACCGTGGGGGTCGTTGAACCTCTGGGAAGAGCGGCGTCATCCAGAACGTCAGATCGTTCAACATCGACCGATTTCTGGGTCGCCGGCGGCGTTCCACGTTGAACGCCAGCGGCGGGGTCGCCGCCGGTCGACGCGGCGCGACAGGGTCGACCCGCCGACGGGGGGCAGCTTGGGGCGCAAAAGGACATACTACTGTGTGCTCCTTGCAGGCGTGGGCCCGATCAGATCAGCAAGAAAGGCAATCTTCACAGTTTATCGCTACCGCAGCGGTATGGCCAGAAAGCGCCCGCCACCGAACATGTACTATGAGATTTCTTAGCGCGCGCGTCGCCCCCTTTGGAGCGGCGCAAGCATGGTAGTTGCATGTCTGGGTGACGCCGACGCGTGATGATGCGAAAGCGGCGCCCAACGACCGCACCATGCTCGGACCTCCTTCGGGCCGCAGTCCAGCGCGGTACGGTGCATCGTTTTTCGGCCCTCAGGTCAGGTCGGGCATGTCCCCCTACGGGCGGATTTGGAACGAAACAATAAACATACAAAGAAAAGTACACAAAACATATTCAAACATAGCAGAAAAATTGTCCCCCACTATATTTTTACCAATTTTGGATATTCCTCCTGTAGAGGGCTAGGCCCGACTTCACTCTCAGGGTCGAGGCACTGTGCACCCCACCATGCCTGGGTCGAGGCTCGGCGACGCCGCGGGAGGCGCCAGCGCGGTACGGTTCACACCAAGCAATCCGCGGACAGGGAGCGTCGGAGGGGCTCGGCGTGCATCGAAGACACAACAACGAATAAACAAAACAATTCGGAACTCCACGCTGTTTGCTTTAGGTCGGGCGTGTCCCCCTGCAGTTTTTTGTTTGGGGATATCTATCTCTCTATATATATACATATATATACGCTAGACACATGCTTGAAAAAAAACATCCCCAGAGTATGTTTGGACTATTTTCTAATATTCGCCCTGTTGAGGGACACGCCCGACCTAACCGCACATCGAATACGCAACAACGCATAAACAACAACTTCTGGAGCTCCACGTTTGTGTTGCGCGGCTCGGCGCTGGGTCTGAGCCGCTCCCCCTGGCTGGCACCCTCCAGGCGCCAAAGAATTGGGTCCAGCGCCGATCGAAGAATTCCATGCGGACCTCTGGAAATGTCTCTTTATTAGGGCGACGAAATCTATACATATCCACCGCTCCCAGGCCAGGCCCATCCTCAACCCCGCAGCGGTGTATACGCCACGCCCTCCTGGCTTGGCCAGGAGGGCGTATACACAGCTCCTGGGTTCAGGATGGGCCTGGCCAGGGAGCAGTGGATATGTATAGATTTCGTCCCCCGATTTATGCACTTCTTGATCATCTTCGAGGAGCGGCGTTGGGAAACTGTGTCTCATCACTCCCACAGCCCAGGGGAGCTGCCGACAAGCGGCTTGCAGCACTGAGGGTGGCAGCATCCTAGTGTAAGGTCAAATAAAGGGGCCCTGGAACACACACACACACACACACACACACACACACATAGACAGACACAAATCCTAGGATTCCCTATATGTTTCAATATTTCCTGGGTTTCGTCTTCCACCCCAATTCAAATGTGTTCCCATCTTTTCCTGGGAGTCGCAGATGACTTGTGTTTGTGTGTCCTCCCCCCTCCAAATGGAAGGGAACGGAGAAATTGCTAAGTGCACCCCCAGGGGTTGCTGGTCAATCGAGTTCCAAGAAATGGATTTGGTCACACCTCGGGCTCCGACACCAAGTGGTCTGGTCGGCCACGTGGCCAAGGGGAGCGGGGGGAAGCCTGTGCACCCGTTTGCCTCGACGCATTCCTTGGCTCCTGGGCCGACCAGACGGCGTGGCAGCAGCGCCGGGAGGCTGGGAAGGCGGCGCGATTCGCAGAACGAGACGAGCTGAGGAGGGGTGCGCCTGGAATTGGCCAACTGCGGAGCTTGAAAGCAAAAGGAGCGCCAAGGCGGGAGGGGCGGGGCACCTCCGCAACCACGCTCCAGGAGGGGATCGACTACAGAAGTGGTTTACCCCAAGATCGGGTGTTCGTCGAATCTGGAACAAATACGCGGAACTTCCGTAGACCTGCCAAACATTCTGCGTATTTTGTAGATCCGACGATCAAATCAGTTTTTGGTACATCGATTCTGTAATCGACCCCCTTATCGACTCGTTGGCCTCCTTCCTGACGGGTCCTGGTGGCACCCGCCAGACGCAACTCAGAACATTGTGCAGTTCGGCCTGCCCCCGGCAGGGGCTGCCAGTGAGGATGCCACCCGTAAGTAGCCGCTGGCAGGCCCCGCGGCCGAGGAGGAGACAGGAGAGGACAACGAGTTTGCTGACAACGACTTCATGGGCACTCTTACGTTGCAGACCTCCCCCCGCGGCACCCCGGACGATCGCAGCGAATACATCCTCGCCGAAGTCGCCGCCGTTGCCAAACATCGCGATTGCCTGCGAGGCGATGCCCTGCGGGTTCGGCAGAAACGGCGGGTTCGCGATGATGCCATCGAACGGGCCGCTGCCCGGCGGCAACGCCTCGTACACGCTTCCCTGGTGCAGCTCCGCCGCCCTCTCGCACATGTCGTTCAGCGCGAGGTTGAACCGCACGAAGTCGAGAGCCCGTGGGTTGAGGTCCACCAGGGGAGCAAAGAATGACGTCAAGGGAAAACTTCGAAGGTCTGCGCGGATTCCTCGGATCGGCGCTGGACCCCCCCCTCCCTGGCGCGCGGGGCGCGCCAGGGGCGGCGGCGCTGGAGCCGCCGGCAGGGGGCCCCAGCGCCGGTCCGAGGAGTCCGCGGGGACCTCCGACGTCTCATGCCTCTACACCCTGCGAAATGCTTAAGAAATCATGGGTTAAGAAATTCATGGTCTCAGAACTTGAATTAAAACCCAACATTTCTATTACAATCTTAGGATTTACATTGAAACATTAAGAATCATCGAGACTCTGGTCGAAAGCTTAAGTTTTCTTAAGCACCGCCTAAGGTGTATGTCACTGTGTGCCCCCCTGTCCACGAAGGTGACGCTCTCTGCGCCGCGCCGGAGCGCGAGGATCCCCTGGACTCCGCTGCCGCAGCAGACGTCCAGGACGGACCGGGCTGTCGCGGCGCGCACAGGAGGGCGGCGCGGGGGAGGCCGTCCAGGAAGGCAGGGGGGGGGGGCCCGGGGAGGCGGGGGCCTTCCAAGACGCCTTCCCTGCCTTCTCAGAAGCTCCCACCCCTCGCGCCACCGCCTTGTGCTCGGGCGCTGCTCCATCGGGTGGGCAGGGAATGGGGGGGGGGGAGGCACATGCACCTTCCGCGCCCCTCTCGGGCTCAAGGGGGCCCCTCCCGCGCCCCTTGAGGGCACAACAGGTGCATCCCTCTTCGCCCCCCATCCATCGCATCCCCCCGCGAGGCGCGACGCCCGAGGCTCGCGCCGCCCATGGTGCCCGGGGCGTGACGCTGGCGAGCCCCAGGGAGTCGTCGGAGATGTACATGACGGGCTCGAAGCCCTCCGACGGCCAAGTCTGCACGTCCGTGGCGACGAGGAGGTCCTCCTCGACCGGCCAGATGCGGACGTTGGCGAAACACGCCAGCCCGCCGCAGTCGGCCTCGTCGACCCGCCGCGCGGCCTCGGAGGCCCTGGCGAGCTGCCAGCCGACCGGCGCAGTGGCCGACACGGCCTGCAGCCTCAGCAGCAGCCGGCAGCTCTCGGCCCCGAGGATCGGAGGGGGCGGCAGTCGAGACGACGGCGGCCCTCCCTGGCGCTGTTCGCCCCTCTGCGGCAGGTCCGTGTCGTGTCGACCCCGGCGTTGGTTCCTGACACCGCGGGGATCGTTCAACCTGGAACGCTCGGCCGTTTGCCAAACGCTGGATCGCTCGACGCGGGGCCGATTCAGGGTCTCTGGCGGCGTTCAACCTTACACGCCGGCGGAAGGGTCGCCGCCGGTCGACACGACGCGAACCTATCGTATTCGGCCCCCCTGGAAGCCTCTCTAGGGGGCCACATGCGAACCCTCCCCCTCAGAAATCGTGGGGGGTAGGGGTAGGGTTCGCATGTGGCCCCCGATTCTCGCCACGGCTGCATCCGTCTCGAAAAACGGGTCAGGATGGACCCCGCGAAGGGCGCTGGGACAGCTTTTGGGCGGGTTTGGGCGGGGCGGGCGAGCCGCCGTTGCCTCAACCGGCCCTTCTCCGAGATGAGCCCGCGCAGGCGCTGGAGCGGGATCGCACGGCGCAAGAGGAAGAACCTGATGAGGTCTGCCAGGGCAGCCGCTGGCAGCGGCTCCTCGTCCGCGTCGTCGAGGGCCTCCTCGAGCTCGGCATGGCGATCCTCGTCGCTGAAGTCGCACAGGGAATCTGCGCCGGTGGCCTGCAGCACGGCGCCCGTGGAGTAGCCCTCCTCCAGCAGCACGGCGCGCAGTCTGCGCAGCGCGGCGGCGTCGGGGCCATCGGGGGAGACGTCCAGGCCAGCCATGGAGCCCGGCTCGCGCAGCGCCTGGCACATGGCCGTGTTGGAGACGAAGCCGAGGAGCCACGGGTCCGCGGACGGGTCCACGCCCATCGCGAGGGCGCGCTGCAACAGGCCGTACGCGGCCGTGAAGTCTGCCAGCCGATGCCGCAGGGCCGCCATCCTGACCAGGGCACTGGCGAGCCCGGCCGCCTCGGGCGGGCTCGCTGCGCTGTCCCGCAAGCCCCAGCGCTCCTGCGCCAGCTCAACCTCCAGCAGCGCCCGCGTCACCGCGCCGTGGGCGGCCACCAGCGGGTCGCCGCTGGGCTGCAGGCGCACCACGTCTGTGGCGGCGGGGTCGCCCAGCTCGCAGGCGCGCAGGCGGCTCCTCACCGCCGCCTCGCGGGAGCGCAGCTCCTCGGCGCCGCCGCCGGGCTCAGGCAGCGCGGACCACCCGTCGCGCACGTCGCAGAGCTCCCGCTCCGCCTTCCCAAGAGCGGCGGGCACACACCCACGCTCTGCTCCGCGGTGCCCTCGCGACGTGGACGCAGGAGCGCCATCCCCCGGACGCACGATCCCCATCGGGCACGCTCCGCGCGGGGCATCCGCGCACAGCCGCCCCGAGGCCGCGCCATGGGGAGCCTGGACCGCGAGGCCGTGGACACGGATATTTCAGAGCGTGAATTACCTGCCCCGCTTTCGCTTCCAGGCAAAACCAAGCCATACCACGCGCCTCCCCGTCAAGCTGCTCGACCAGTACAGGCTGCAATCTGGCATCGTTTGGTATCTCTTGGAAGCGAGGGTGGTCAAAAGCGAGGTAGGTTTGTTTTCCCCTGAGATATGGCCTTCCCCCCAGACATCCGGTGTGCTGATGTTGAAACGGCGGCGCCCCCAAAAATTCCGACCCTTCCCTCGAGCGGGCCCTTCCTCCCGAGCTGTTTTGACGGTCCCTGGGGCCTGGCGAGCGCCCCCGGAGGCCGAACACAGCGAAAATAGAGAAAGTGTCGGAACTCTGCGCGGAGGCGCCGGAGGCGCAGTGACGGGGGAGGGGTGCAGCGCCGATCTAAGAAACCAGCGCGGAGCGCCCACAGTTTATGCGTATGCTGTTCTGTGTTTTTGCGGAAACAAAGCAAGGCCCGTCGTTGATTCTTTTACGCCGCGCGCTGGACCCACGGGCCTCAGCATATACCATGAGTTCCGGCTTGGATTTTGAGATGCATACGCTGCGGCCCCCAATGGGCCGCAGCGCAACGTGGAGGGCCGCAGGTGGGGTGGTGTCGTCTGCTTTGATAGAAAAAAGAAGCAACACATAAACATACACGTTTGGCGCTCCGCGCGGATTTCTTGGATTCGCGCTGGACCCCCCTCCCTGGCGCGCTCCGCGCGCCAGCGGCGGCGCCGGAGGCGCCGCCGGGGGAGGGGGGTCCAGCGCGAACCCAAGAAATGTGCGCGGAGCGCCAAAAGTTTATGTTTATGCGGTTTTTCTTCCATTTGAGGATGACCGGCATGTCCTGGTGGGTTTGTTATCCACCACCACCACCATAAGTAGGAGGGGGAGGGGGTCCCCCTCCTCTCCTTCCTCCTCCTCTCCTTCCTCCTCCTCCTCCTCCACCTCTTTCCCCCCTCCAACTTGTGGTGGCGGTGGTGGAAAACAGTTGTTTTGATCCGCGGGTCGAGAGCGCACCTCTTCCGGTCGAAGCTAAGCGGGCCGCGCGAAGCTTGAACTAACAAAGAGGGGGGGGACAGAAGGAGCGCGGCCTCACGGAAAGCGGTGGTGGAAAACAGGCCCATCATGTCCGCGCTCCGCCCCGGGAGCCTCGCGCAGCCAGCCCTCGAGCGCCGCCCCGCCGCGCGGGGGCGGCGGGGCGGAGGCCTGCCGCCGCGTGCGCGCCCGCAGCCCGGCCCCGACCGCCGCGCAGCCGCCCACCGCGGGTGGGCGGCGGCCTGTGACGGCGGAGGAGCCGCGCCTGGCGGTGGCGACGGCGACGCCCTCGACGACGACGACGACGACGACGACGACGACGACCGGCGACGACGACCGGCGACCGGCGACGACGACGACGACGACGACGGGCGATGACGACGACGACGACGGGCGACGACGACGACGACGACGACGACGACGACGACGACGACGACGACGACGACGGGCGACGATGGGCGACGACGGCGACGGCGACTAGCCGCGACGGCGGGGGGGCAGACGTTCGCCGCCCCCTGGGAGCGCCTAGGGAGGGGGGGGGGGGATGGCAGGAGCATCGCCTGCACACCCCCCATCTCCTGCGCTCGGCCTTGCTCCCTCTCATCTCCTCCTCCTCCTCCTCCCCCCCTCCTCCCCCCTCCTCCTCCTCCTCCTCCTCCTCCTCCTCCTCCTCCTCCTCCTCCTCCCCCTCCTCCTCCTCCTCCTCCTCCTTCTCCTCCTCCTCCTCCCCCTCCACCTCCTCCTCCTCCTCCTCCTCCTCCTCACCCTCCTCCTTTCCCTCCTCCTCCTTTCCCTTCTCCTCATCTTCCTCCTCCTCCTTGTTTCCTCCTCCACTTCCTACTCCATCCTCCTCGGCTGCTTAACATCTCTCCCTCCCTCCCTCCGTCCCTCCCTCGGGGGGGGAGGCAGACGTTTGCCCAACGAGCGCGGCCGGAACATGGCCATAGAGGCGATGCATCGAGAGCACCAGCCCCATCGCAGAAGGCCACTGGGCCATGGAGATACCTCGAACGAAGGACGCTCTAAGGTGGAGAGCCCAACCACGAACATCAGCAACGGTACCCGTCGGAGACTGGGGTTGTTCTTACTCTCGTGCCAGCTGTACCCGAGGTCACCCAGCTTCGCGCTTCGGGCGCTGCGATGCGCGACGCGCAGTTAGCTCCTGCCGGGAAGCATGCTGGCAAGCCTCGTGGGAATCCACGAGACACGCCTGGAAACCTTACATCCGTCGACCTCCGCCTGCCTCCGCCCCCTTTCGTTTCGTTTCCGAGCAGGTTGGGACGTGCGCGTGTGGGGAGACACATGCGTAGCGGAGCAACAAGGAAAAGGACAGCTCGTGCATCGACCCTCCTTAGAAAAACATCGCCGCTGCATCAGCGCACCCTAGCTCAGCGGAGAGGGAGTGAGAGAGAGAGAGAATTACCCCAGTGCGACCCTACCTAGAAGTTGGAGCCCCTAGGAAAGCAGCATTAGTTGCTATGCTATGCTATGCTATGCCATGCTATGCTGCGCTATGCTATGCTATGCTATGATATTATGCGCTATGCTATGCTATGCTATGCTATGCCACGCTATGCTATGTCATGCTGCGCTGTGCTATGCTAAGCTGTGCTATGCTATGCTATGCCAAGCTGCGCTATGCTATGCTGTGCTGTGCTATGCTATGATATGACATGCTATGATATGCTATGCTGCGCTATGCTATGCTATGCTCTGTTATGCTATGCTATGCTGCGCTATGCTATGCTGTGCTGTGCTGTGCTGCGCTGTGCTTTGCTATGCTATGCTGCGCTGTGCTATGCTATGCTGGGCTTTGCTAGGAAATGCTGTGCTGCGCTATGCTGTGCTACGCTCTGCTATGCTATGCTATGCTGTGCTCTGCTATGCTAAAGCTCAGCGAAGCTAAGATGAAGATGAGCTATGCTAAGATAAACCTGAGCTAAGATGAAGCTAAGCTAAGCTAAGATGCGATAAGCTAAGCTAAGATGAGATAAGCAACGCTAGGCTAAGGGGACGTCATTGGGGGAACCGCGGGGCGGATCCTGGGGGAACCGCCCGGGGCGGGTTCCACTGCCCGGCCCTTTAAGAGAACAGGGTAAGAACCCTCTAGGCAGAGCCTAGGTAGGGAATAAAACAATCAATAACACAGATAAGGGGAAAGACTTCTCCAGCCCTTGGGCCGGGGGCGTCCCAACGGGGGGTGTCCAAGAGGAGAACTCGCACACCATCGTCCGAGGCATTTGCGCGGACGAGGGGGCACCAGGAGAAAGATGGAAAGAAGACGAGGGGTCATGAGACCTGGGGAAATATTTTGGCCCCCGCCACGACTTCACGCTCCCCCCCCGTCACCACACCCCCTCTCTCGCTATCGCTCGGACGTCCACTCCCCGCGCATTTTGCGGCTACGTGCGTGCATGTTTGCGCAGACTGGCCCAACATGCTCCTCGGTGGTCCCTGCCCCAAAACAATCTCACACTCGACCACATGCAAGAGCGACCCTGGGTAAGAGTGACCTTTGGTGCGCGGCTCTTTGGGGACCGCGGGGGAACCGAACACGAGCGCGCAAGACGCTCCTTATTACCGCATCGCGTTCGGCGACAGGGGGACCCCATTGCGCCCACAGCATAGGTCACTCCGGCACGTGCAGTCGACACACCCAAACCCCCGACGTCGTGATTTTGTCACAACGTCGACTCCCAGAGGTTCGGACCCCTTCCCCGGGACAAGTTTTTGACCTCGGGTCGTCTTTTTACGCTCGCGAGGCCGGGGAAGGGCCCCCGGAGGCGGAACATCTAGCCCAAAAAACCTCCCGTCGTGGTGTGCATCACAGCGCGAGGAGGCCTGGGCACGCCCGAGCCCGAGCTCTTGGACGCTCACGGGTCGGGACCCTTGAGATCCGATGACGTGGCTTTTTTCAATGCGGGGTCCCCGGGAGTCTCGACCCCTTTCCCAGGACCGGGTCTTTCATCATCTAGGGGGCGCTCTTTTGCCGGCCCCGAGGCCCGGCGAGGGCCCCTTCTGCGGGCCGCGCCTCGCATTTCTCAACACGCTGGCTCTCGGAGGAGGTCGGGACCTCCGGCCGCCCCCCCCGTCCAGGTCCAGGGGAGGGGGTAGGGGGAGGGGTAAACTGAAGGGGCCCCAGGACACACAAATAAATACACACAAATAAAAATATACCCCATATTTCCCCATATTTTCTGGGTTTTTGTCTTCCCCCCCACTTCCCATATTTTCCCATATTTTCTGGAGAATCGACGATTAATTGTGTCTGTGTGTTTTTTTCCCTCCTGATAAACCCCTCCCCGAAGGGGAAGAAGGAGGGGTGGAAGAGGAAACTCCCTGAACCACGGGCTTGTGGGACTCTTCCGCACGCTGGCTCTCTCGGAGCTCGGGGCCTCCAGCCGCCAGCGCCGGCCCGGGGCCGCCGCCGCGGGGACGCCGCCGCCGGCGCCGCCAGGGCACGCGGCGCCAGGGCCGGCGGGGGCGGGCCGCGGCAGGCGAACATCGCCGGGGTCGGCCGCGCGCGCGCGCTGCGCGGGGAGCGCCCCGCGCGGCGGGCCTCGCAGGGCGCCGGCGGCTCGGGGGGGCGCCGGCGTTAAGTCGGGCCTGTCCCCCTACAGGGGAATTTTTGACGAAAAATAAAATGATCCCAGTGCGACCCTACCTAGGAGTTGGAGCCCCTAGGAAAGCAGCATTAGTAGTAACAGTAAAGCTACACTAGCTAAGCTAAAGCTAAGCTAAAGCTAAGCTAAAGCTAAGCTGAAGCTAAGCTAAAGCTAAGCTAAAGATAAGCTAAGGCTAAGCTAACACTAAGCTAAAGCTAAGCTAAAGCTAAGCTGAAGCTAAGCTAAAGTTAAGCTAAAGCTAAGCTAAAGCTAGGCTAAAGCTAAGCTAAAGCTAAAGCTAAAGATAAGCTAAATCTAAGCTAAAGCTAAGCTACAGCTAAGCTAAAGCTGAGCTGAAGCTAAGCGAAAGCTAAGCGAAAGCTAAGCTAAGGCTAAGCTAACGCTAAGCTAAAGCTAAGCTAAAGCTAAGCTGAAGCTAAGCTGAAGCTAATCTAAAGCTAAGCTAAAACTAAGCTAAAGCTAAGCTAAAGCTAAGCTAAAGCTAAGCTAACGCTAAGCGAAAGCTAATCTAACGCTAAGCTAAAGCTAAGCTAAAGCTAAGCTAAAGCTAAGATAAAGCTAAGCTAAAGCTAAGCTAAAGTTAAGCTAAAGCTGAGCTAAAGCTAAGCTAATGCTAAGCTAACACTAAGCCAAAGCTAAGCTAACACTAAGCCAAAGCTAAGCTGAAGCTAAGCTAAAGCTAAGCTAAAGCTAAGCTAACACTAAGCTGAAGCTACGCTGAAGCTAAGCTAAAGCTAAGCTAAAGCTAAGCTAAAGCTAAGCTACGGCTAAGCTAACACTAAGCTAAATCTAAGCTGAAGCTAAGCTAAAGCTAAGCTAAATCTAAGCTAAAGCTAAGCTAACACTAAGCTGAAGCTAAGCTAAAGCTAAGCTAAAGCTAAGCTACAGCTAAGCTAACACTAAGCTAAAGCTAAGCTAAAGCTAAGCTAAAGCTAAGCTAAAGCTAAAGCTAAAGCTAAAGCTAAGCTAAAGCTGAAGCTAAGGCTAAAGCTCCCAGGGGACTGGGGGAACCGCGGGGCGGGGAATGGGGGAACCGCCCGGGGCGGTTTCCATTGCCCGGCCCCTTTAGCTAACAGAGTAAGAACCCTTCTAGGCAGAGCCTAGGTAGGGAATTACACCAAAAATACACCAAAAACATTCCAATAATAGGTTGGGGACTATGTTTTGAATGTTTTTGTTTGCCGTTTGGGGTCATTTTTGTTGTATTTTGTGTTTTTGGTTGGAAATCCCCCTGTAGGGGGACACGCCCGACATAACGCTGGCGGCTCGCGGGGCGAGGATTATGGGTATCGGTTCACCGATCCCCATCCCCAGCGGCGTGGCCTGGGCCCCGCTGGCCGATCTACCCCCCTAGATGGGGACATGGGTCGTGCCCTTCGGGTTTCGAGGGGTGTATCCCCAACTGGTGGGGTAATTTGGTGAGTCTCGAACGGGATGGGGATGGGGATGGGATGGGGGTCGGATAAACGATACTGAGATTAAGTCGGGCATGTCCTCCTAGAGGGGAATTTTGGACGAAATCCGCCGACCCCCTTGTGGGGCCAC